GTAGAGAGAGAGTGGTAAGGATTGCCGCCTTGGAGAAAGGCCTCACGGACGAGCAATCAGCGGGTGTGAAGCGCGACACATCTCGTGCACAAGTAACGAAGAAAGGTGGAAACGAAACTGCACGCATAGCGGAGGAAAAGCCGCAAAGCGACGGTGTGCAAGTTCACCAGGACCTGATATTCAGTCTGATGAACCGGGAGGTTAGACTGCTGGGCGTGACCATTATGCAGCGGCTAAGAGGAAAAGGCATCAGGCATGACAATTCACTAAGGGAGACCTATAGGAGGATGCTAGACGCATATAGAGTCTACTGCGCGATCTACCAAAAATGTCCTATGGCGCAACCGGTGCTGAGGGTTTATATCCAACACCGGTAGCAGCAAGCGACGCCATTGGGTTACTGCGCATAGAAGACAAGCTGGTAACGGCCGGAGCGTGGTGAAAGGATGTTGCAGCGGTCGTATGAGACAGGACATTTTATCAGTGGGACTCCGTACAGGGTTCGAGGCCCAAACGAAGTTGTCATGATGGTGCTGACGCCGCACTAAGTCAAACGGTCGAGGTCTGAGTCGGTTCAACACATCGTAGAAGCGACATAAAGGATTCTTCGACCATGTTGACTGCGGCAATCAATTGATGGGCTTTTCTACGCTAGGGTCGCGATAGCGAGACCAGCGACGGGTTACTCAGCGTACATGTGTAGCGCGCGGTTCTCAAAGCCGGGGGGTATCATAGCAGGAGACGATGGCACGTCCACTATAAGCCAGTGGAGCGAGGCACGCCGCAAGGCGGAGTTATCCTCCCGCATACTAGCAAATTATCTATCTGCATTACAACCTGGATATCTGCGGCTCTGAAACGCGTATCGACCGCAGCTGTCAGGGCTATGCCGATTAATTGGTGATAGTCGATGCTTACGTTGTGCTTGGTTCGAATATTCTCAAGAGCAAAGCAGTTCAGGGAAGCCATGGAAACGGACTGAATCGTTCATGCTTTGAAGGGCACCGCGAGAGACCCGGTATTTGATTTGGCCAATTATGCGCATGCCAAATGCAAAGGCAGAGGAGAAAGACCGGAGACTTTTGATTTCTAGGGCTAACACTTACTGCTCCGCAGTCGGGATGGAAAGCGATTTCGCCATTGAAAAGAACGATCAGTAGCGATTAACCGCCAGCTTTGGTACAAGGATGGCTGAGGAACAACGGTAGGGACGTTACGGCGTACGGCGGATTACTGATGACTACAGCAGCCACTGCCGTCGGACACTTTGGTACTATGGCGGTAACGGTAAATAGTCGCAGCATAGGCGAATTTGGCTTATTGAAGTGGACTCTGTCTGGCTATTTTCAAATGGCTAAATCGTACAGGCAAAAGGAGCTGCTTACCTGGGGATAAGGTTCGGCCAGTTGTTTGAAGTTTATGGCCATTGACCAGGCCGCGGATTTGGTTATTTATTGTCCTTTGAAGTGAAGTGTGTGTCGAGGGAAGCGTAGTGCGTAATAGCGGGCGGTACGCAAGAGATTCTGATAGAGGGCGGCGCGTGTGTCCGCGAAACATAGCACGTGATGGATCGCTAATGTTGGCACGGCGGAAACAGCCGGAAAGCAGAGAAAGAAACAAAGATCCTAAGTCAACTGTCAGGGGCATCTACTCGACCAAAGCGTTGAGAAAATATCTTGAGAATCCGTTACCCTCTATTGATGCCAGGCCCCTCCTGTTGAAATTTGAAACGCCCTTACTATCACGTCATGAAGGTCGTGGATAGGCGGCCGCACAGTGACTGATATTTCATGGGCGATGATTCACTATCGGGTATTTCTTGAAAGGCCTGGAGGAGGCCAGATAAAACGGATTCAAATTAGAGGTGATAAGCTATGTTTGATGGGTAATCACTATCACTTATTCGTGAAAACGCCGTTGGCGAATCTGGATCGATGCATGCGCCACGTAAATGGCCTCTACACACAGCGTTACAACAGGTTAAGGAATACCGATGGTCCATTATTTCGAGGGCGGTATAAATCCATACTTGTCGAGGCGGATGCCTATGGGTTGCATTTAAGTCGATATATCCATCGTAATCCGGTCGAAACAAATCGTCCCCTGGTTGATGTGTTAGAAGATTACCGCTGGTCTAGCTATCCGGCATATGTCAACAAAACTGCATGCCCGCCCTGGTTACAGCGTGATCTCATTTATGATTTGTTAGGTAGGAAACAGCGATATTTGGGTTATGCCCAATATGTGGGTTCTGGAATTGACGATGAAACCCAAAGCTTTTCGGCAGAGGAAACAGGCGCATATTTGCCGGGATGACTTTGGTCGAGGCAACATCAAGCATGACGCATAGAGAAGTAGGAAAGCATGCATGATCGACCGTTATCAATATAACTATCGGCATCCAGTGCATAATCAGTGTGGCGGTGGTTTAAGAGAGGTGCGCGAAGGATCCGGGTGTCGCATCGGGGTCGAGGAAGGTGAAAACGTCCCGAGAATGGGTCGCACTTATTTATGTCGAGAGTGAGCAGGCGCGCTTAGTGTGATTGCCAGAGTTTTGGCTGACGCATATTTCGGTGTAGCGGGCTGCCTACAGTTACAGGAAAGTAGATGGCTTCTTTGAATCGGCTGTTGAGCAATCTTTAAAGGAATTATATCAACTATTGACCTTGATTGTTGCCACTTGATTCTCTGTGATCAGGATAACTATCCGAGATCCAGGGCATATATATACGCAGTGGCGGAATGTGAATTTTAAGACTCATTCATACTGGACAAGGATGGAAATGACAGGCTGTGGAGGGCTTTTATGTGCCTACACCTAGGCAGAGTTTATGAGTAAACAAAAAAAGGCAGCTACAGTCAAAGTACTGTTAGGCATGGCACTGGTATTAGTGTCGGATTGATTATCAAATTTACTGGCATTTGGAATGCCTGGAACGTTTCGGGATTAATGAATAATATCGTTAAGGACTTATTCCATGTTGTAGGAAAAATGTTCGTTAATTCTTGTGAAAATGTTAGTGGTGTTCACTGGTGTTTTTCTCACTTACTGTGGCCTGTTTGTCGTATTGGTGATATCGAATGTTAGGTCGTGTAGTGTGTAAATCATTCGCTTGTACATGATGACAAAGCATTGGCGATTGCCAACAGCAATTATAATTGCTGGTTACTCTGTATCGGTAAAGGTATGATGATGGTACAATGCAGAATTTGCCAGGTAAGACTTCCCCATTAGCGCCCAAGTTTTAATGTGACATTATTACTGGTAATTCCGATCAATTCGGATGGCGAGGTGGTGATATGTTTACCATCTTTTATTCTCATACTTTGGGCTTGGTTTTTACTCGTTGGAAAAAGGCCAAAGTTCGTAGAAGTGCTGAAATAGCGAACGAAATGTTTGATGATAGATGTTAACAATTGTGATGTCTGTTGCACCTATGCTGTATTTGCTTTGATCGCCAAAGCAATTTCTGCGACTGTAGGTATTGATATTTAGCACTCCTTGCTAGGCTTACGTTTGGGTGCTTGTGGCTGCATTTACTGTTCCATTTGCTTTATAACACTGATGATAGGATCAAGTCTTCTCAAGGATAAGCCTGCATGTCTTGAGCGAAGTGGACGTGCAGTTGTATTTGCATTTAGTACTGCAAGTTCAATGAACGATACTGTCACGTCATGAGACAGTAAGCGGGACGCTTTGGCTTGTGAATAACTCTGTTGCATCGTTTACTGTGCCTTTGGCGCTACCATCAATATGGATGGTAACGGCGATTATGCAACGGGTGTTGCGTACGGTATTTATGCCATGTTATATGTTGATATTGTATGTGCTGGCTATTTGACATTAATACTCATGTCTGTATGCTAGCTTTCTATCGGTACAGCTGGTGTACCAGGTGTAGGCTTAATCATGATTATCAATGGTATTTACACAAGTAGGTCTACTGTGAAGGGATTGGTTGATACTTGGTGTGACGGTTTAAATGAGATATCGATTGACTGCACGTGAAATGTATCAGGTGATGCAACTTGTTTCTTCTATCGATTGCTAGAGTCGAAGGTAAGATGGATAATTGCGGTCTATAATGATCCAGATGCTGGACGTTGGATATGATGAGCAATCAGAATTGACGATGCAGTTGACTTGAAAATGAGCGGCGATTGAAGCCCTACACACGATAAATAATCGTGAAAGAAAATGTTGTGCTTGTTAATGAGCCAATAACTTTTTTATTTACGCGAAAGCGAAATCTCGGCGCTTGACCCCCGGTGGGGATGCTATGGATTGATTTAGCGCATATATCCATAGTATCCGGTTTCGAAACAAATCGTCCATGGTTGCTGTGTTAGAAAAGTACCGACACACGATCGATAAGTCTATATTTTGGAGGTCAACTAATCAATGACTACTTTAATGGTACCTGGAAAGTTTTCTGTATTTAGCTGTACAACGATCAAATTTAATGCAAAGCCTGTGACAGCTTCAGATATCGTTGGCCAATGATCGCTCCATGTCTTTCAGAAAATTACGCAGGCTGATACTGGAAATCAACGGGGCGTCATAAGCACACTTCGAGTTGCAGAAAAGATAGAAATCTATTCGTTGCAGACAGCTTTTCTGATCCCCTTTTAGCTGGCACAAAAGCAGCTCGCTGGCAACGAATGATGCTAGTGAAATATTTCTTCACCAATTTTGCTGCAATTCTCTGGTTATTCGCCTGAGGTGCTCGAGCAAACTGTGTGTATTTTTAACTTGTTTCACCTCCTTTTTCAACTGTTTTTCTTTGTATTTAAAATTGCTTGTTGTTGCGCCGCAGGCACTCAGTATCCCACCATAACGTAAAGCGGCGTAGTGTGGTCAAAGGGTGAATTAGTGTGGGTCTAAGCGGTTGATATTTGCCCGAGCAAATATCAACCGCTTATCCACACGTTCCTGAGGTACGAAGGAAATTCACGCTTTGTCCACACGTAGTCCGCCAGCACGAAGTCGCTTTATTTTTTCATGCTTTCTCTGCACAGGGTCTGGGTGTCCGATAACTCTCGCCATCGAGTACTACGCGATAAGCATGGTGGCGAAGGCGATCAAGGGTTGCCGCACCCAATAGCTTATTTGGGAATGCATCACCCCATTCACCGAAGTCGAGATTGCTGGTGACAATGGTGGCACCGCGTTCGTATCGCTCGTCAATCAAATCATGTAGATCTTCATCCTGCGGAGACTTTAGTGGCTTGAGTCCAAAGTCATCAATAATTAACAGCGGCACCTTGACCAGCGATTGGAAGCGTCGATCATAGGTATTGGTGGCGCGCGCGGCGTGTAAATAACTAAGTAGTTTGGCCTGGCTATGGCACAGCACATCGTAACCCTTCTGTACGGCACAATGCCCCAGAGCCTGTGCCAAGTGACTCTTGCCGGTGCCGCAAGGCCCGGCGATGAGTACGGCGACTTTCTCTTCGATAAAGCCACCACTGGCCAGTTCTTTCAACAGGGCCTGGTTGAAATTAGGGTTGAAATCCAGATCAAAGCTCTCCAGTGTTTTGTTATGCCGGAAACCCGCCCGTCGAAATCGCATGGCGTATTTCTTTTGCTCACGCCGCGCGACTTCATCCTGGATCAGTAGCGCCAGGAATTCAGGATGTGAGAGTTGGTGCTCAATGGCTTCCCGGTTACGTGCAGCCAAGGTTTCGGTCATGCCCGATAGGCGTAGTTGTTTTAACAAGGGGGTGAGTTCAGGTATTGGGTTTAACATGATTAATATCCTCATTTGTGGTTAGTGGTTGATATTGATTTTAGTGTTTCAGCAGGCTGGCGGGATCACGGCAGAAGCGACCGCCGCCGGTATAGCTATCAGCCAGGGTGTCGAAACTGTCTTCACCAAGGTCTTGTAGATCGAGCCCCTTTTCCAGGATTTGCTTGATCGCTCGATAGCCGATATTGTCGAAGGTCAGAGCCCGTAAACAGGCGGCATTGAGTCGCGCCTTACCATAGCGTTTTTGAAAACCCACAATGCCTTGTACACCACGTAGATTATCAAGCACCTTGTCATTAAATAACCGAGTGATCAGGCTTTCACAGTGCTCCCCGATTTCTCTGGCCTGCTTGAGACACCATTGTGGATCGCGCATTTTAAAGGCGAGTGCATTGGGTGGCAGGTGATCGTCGAGTGTACTGCGATCCCCAGGATGCTTTAACCGACTATGGATCGCTTTAAGCTCATGGGCCTGATAAATACGCACCGAGGTATCACTGGCTCTGAGCCACAACGATTGATGTACCAAGGTATGAGGCACCGAGTAACGGCATTGTTCAAACTGAATATGGCAATCACCATGGACTTTCACCTTGACCCAGACCGCAAGCTCTGGCGGCACATCGGGTAGGGCTTTGAGTAGATGCTGCTCGGTCTCGGCGAATCGCTTGAGCGGTTGAGTCCGTGTGGTGCCATGGATGCGGTTACCGGCAACTGACATCAACCATTGTTTTAATTGCTGGTTGGCATCGCTCATGCCGCGGAACTCCCGCAGCGGCACAAAGGCATTTTTGATATATTTGACGTTGGACTCTACCCGGCCTTTCTTTTGTGGATCTCGGACTGGGCAAGGGGCGATCAAGAATCCGTAAGCTTCGGCACAATCGGCATAAGCACGCTGTACCTCAGGGTCATGATAGCAAGCCCTGGTAATCGCACATTTCGGGTTGTCGATGACGACCCGTGCGGGCAGGCCATTAAACCACTCAAAGGCACGCCGGTGGCAAGCAAGCCAGGTGGCCACACTTTGATCCCGGATGAACTCTGCATACATATGCCGACTCCAAGCCAGTGTCATCACAAAGATCCAGGTTTTTCTGATCTCACCGGTGTCAGTATCGACGATCTTGGGGCCAGCACCGAAGTCGACTTGTGACGCATCACCCGGTGGGAAATCCATCACTGTGGTCACCACAGGATTGGCACGTCCGAGCTGGTGCAGGTAGCGGCGTAGAGAGGAATAGCTGCCCTTAAAGCCAAATCGACTAACTAGAGTCTGATGGATCGTGGTGCCCTGTACACCGGCCTCGACCCAAGTTTTGACTTGATCGTGATAAGGCGTAATCAACGAGGTGGTGGTCTGATTCCTCGGCTTGTCTGCCAGATGGGTTGCCAACTCTGTTGTATCGGGTAACGGCTTATCCAGATTGAGCCAGCCGTGCTGCTCGGCAAGCTCACGCAGGTCAGCGGCCTTGTTCCTGCCGATCAGTCCAGTCTTGGCGATGGTGCGGTTCGACTCGCCCATTCGCATACGAACGAGTACTTGTCTGATTTCGTGCATTTCAAATCTCCGGTTGGTCATGGGGGTATCGCCTCGCTAAAAAGCATGCACGATACCCGAATTAAACGGGAGTTTGAGGGGGAAATTTAGCCCTTAGGTGGATCCATTACGATGATCATTGCCTGGCGCCATTACGGTGAACATCAGGTGGCTCCATTACGCCGATCATAGGGCGGCTCCTTTACGGTGAACATCGAATGGCTCCATATGGGTGATCATTAACAGTAACAAACCCGGGCAGCCTGGTAGTTAGACGTTTCACAAAGACGACGCCTCCGTATGGCTGATTCCTTAACAAAACATAAGAACGGGCTGAAGATTCAGTCCTCCCAACAATGGATAGGTGAGGAGGGCCGCTGGACTTTGATGGACGTGGGGCGCCGCGCACCGACAGAAATCGGAATTATTTGTTGAGATAAGGTGCAGGGCGGGGCCTCCGCTGAAAGGCAGCAAGATGTCACTGATGAGCGGTCGGTAAAAGGAAGTGTTGGACGATAAAGGCTGTTGAATGATCCAATGGCTTATGGAGCTCCTACAAAGCTGTAATCAACAACTGCAGGGCGTGTTTACCTTCACGTACGTTGAGACGGGGTCCCAACGACGCGAGTAGAGGAGGTGCCGGGCGCATTTGTGGCGCACGAAGTGGGCTTATTCATATCAATCAAAAATAACCGGTACTTTGATGCTCCTATAAATCGATTGCGATAAGCTCTACGCGACATTGATGTTGGTTCTTTGAAGGACGGCCATACGAAATGGGATGACGCGGCGGTAAAAGCGAAATTAGAGGTATTATTATAACTTTGTTGTAAGTAGCTTCACTTTTCACGCGTGGATTGTCAAATTCAAAAATAGGAAAAAAGGTCTTAGGGGGCTAGTTTATAGCTATTTACATTGATAAACGATCAACATGTCCTCGTCAGATTCACCTTGAGTTCCCAATTGCGTTTTATCACATTACCTCTCGTGCGTGATCGGCCAACTCCGGCGAGGATATTTTGATGATGACGCAGGTAGAGAGCGTTTTTTAACGGGAAGCGTAATTCGGGGGCTTGCCCGCGGTTGTACTGTAGCTTACAATGGGGCGTCTTTTCCCCATTGTAAGCGTGTTCGGGCTCATGGAGATTGCAAGAAAATACGATTATGTATTCAGGTTGATGTTTCTATTTTGTATGGTACCAAAATATCGAATAAGGTTTTCAAGTGAGCCTTATCGCCCCAGGGAACTCTAAAGGCGGATTATTGGAAAAAATATTGGTTATGGACTACGATATTGATATAGTGGAGTTGGAGGTACCCGAAGACCATATCCATATGGTTGTTCGAGGCGTTCCGAAGATGGCACCAAGCGATGTGATGCAGGTTGTAAAGAGTATATCGGCGAGAGAGTTTTTCCGGATTTATCCGGAGGTTAAAAGACGATATTTTTGGGGAGGGAAATTGTGGACTCAGAGTTATTTCGTGGAAACAATAGGGGACGCAAACGAAGAAGTGATTAGAGCTTACGTACAAGAGCAACTTGCAGAATACGAGAAGAAAGAAAGTAAATCAAATCAGTATGATTTGTTCTAAAGCGCGTTAGCGCTTTTAAAACTCGGTCGCTTGCGGCCGAGATTTTTATATGGGTTCGCATTATGTTCC